AGCTACCTGCCTCAAAGTATTTATCTCTTTAACAGCTTTTATCTTCAGGCACACTGTTCAGTGCTATAGGATGAAAAGGCAACATCATTTATACAACACTGTTATTCAGTCACTGATCAGAATCTGATCCCCTGTAAGGATAAAGGTCTGCTGCTTGTGCATGTCTGTCAGCAGCATTACATTTGACACTTTGTAAACCTGCGTCTGCTCAGGTACGTGTAATGCTGGTCACTTGAGGTGAGACACTACACGTAAAAAAACACATTTAGGTGTTTATTTCGCTACACTTTGTCTATTTGCATGTGTAGCTTTCTCAAAATTCATAGCATTTTGCATCAAATATCTTAAACACTTGAGGGCCGTTATCTCAAAATTTGTTTTTTCTCACTCTGAGCCAGAAATCTCCACTTCAGTATCACTAACACACACCAAACTTTCCAGTTTCATTCCAAACTATAGTCTGAAGGTTTTTTACTGAGGGGTTTGTTCGTATATCATTCATAGCCTGATTTATAGAACATTTTATTCCTAAAAACAATGTCTGGAAAGTACATTTGTATTTTGAGTGATAAAAAATAGATATCCAAAATTCGCTCCGATGAAACCTTTGACTCTAATATGTCAATGAAATGAAACAAGAATTTCGAACCTGGCTTTATCCAATGTTCAGTTTGCTGTTTTGGAAATATATGCAAATTAGCATATATTTAACAATGTAGTACCTCATTTGCATATTTAAACAGAACACTTCAGAAAACTTGTCGTACAAATGAAATAATTGTCTTAATGTAAGTAATCCAATGGAGAAGTTTCATGGTGATATCCATTAGTTATGTTTTTGTCCATATTCACCTGGGATGTCTCCTTTTAAAGTAATCCCACATTAAAGTGAGATGGCTGGATACTCCGATGGGTGATGTTCACCTGTGAGCCTTTAATGATTACACAGAGAACACAGAGAGATCTGTATTGAGTCGGACACCTACTCTGCTAACATGATCATAAATTATCCACTCGTTTGGTTGTAAACTGTCAAGTGTCTGTTACAGTACCCGAGGATTCCAGGTGAACCCTTTTACTTTCAGTTGAGAACAGATGGTAGCAAAACATATTTATAGTTCAATGGCATACCACTTTCCCCAAACCTACGGCTACAACTGTGTCATTAAACTTTGTGTTTGTTTGGACAGGCAGCATGGGTTTTGGGGGACAGTGAGTGCTGAGTGATGATCAAAGCTGAAGAGAAGGCCTGACTGGTTGCACTTCCTCCTGTGTCACACTTCTGGGGGATGAGAGTAACACTCAGAGCTAAAGTAGAGCAAAGAGCAGCAGGAGACCTAATCTGTCATGCATTTCCTGTGTATGTCATCACTTTGGGGATTATTTTTGGAAAACCGTACTTGGTTAGATCGCACGTAATTGTATGTAATAGATTATAGACCTCCTAATATGTTTTTTCAAACAGAGACTTCTACTCCATTTGAATTGAGTTTGGTAAACTAATCCAACACTTAACATCAGTTTAAATGTGTAGTCTTCCACTTATTCTGAGGCTACTTTCTTTATGTATTGTGCAGTAGACAAACATTTTATGCCAAATTGATGCGCATTAAACAATATTTAATCAGTATTTAAACCCAAACAACCTGCTGATCTAAAAACAAAGCTATTCCTCTGACGATAGTTATATCATCACTTATAACCCAGAGTACAGAAAGTGTCACGAAACCGCACTCAGAGTAATAGTCATAGTGACCCCAAGTGGATATGTTGTGTCACTGCAATTTATGACGACAGTCCATGCCCCTTTTTTATTTAAGTTTCCATTAAGCACTGAATAGTATAAAGGTGGGGTTGCAGAATTAAATTGATAAGAAGCACAACAAAATATACAAAAACATATATAAACATAAACATATATATACTTTTGCATACATATACGATTCCTGGGCTTTAGGATTCGGCCGATACCTTCAATATTGTTTTCCTAACTTTTTAGAACAAAATGTAACAAATAAATACATAGCTATGAATTCACTGAATTGTTAGTTATCATTAGAATAATACGTTGTACACCAGCAGAAATTACAGCTCAACAAATTGGTCAAAAGTTAAACATGAATTAAAATACCAGTTTATAATGTATATAGTATATAAACATAGCATTGGATTGAACAGATCGGCTACTTTGCCACAATAGCAGCTACTAGTCAGTATCGACCCGATTGGAGCATCCCTAATTTAAATGATACAAATATCATAATCATGCGTTTATGTCTCAGGTTGTCTTCGTTTGGCTCCATATATAGTCGGGAATAACTTTATAAAATAAATAAATTCTTACCTCCTACAGTACAATGCGTCTTGAATCAAATGACTGTGGGACCAGGGTCAGAATTCTTCCAATGCAGCAACATGAAGTGTCTTGAGATAAAGGAAACAATAAAATCTCATTTAGTATACCTGTTGCTTCATGAAGGACCCCAAAATTGGGAATCTCACCACCTCAATTCAACTAACTGACTTGATTGCTGCAGCTCAGGGAAACTCTTTTGTTTAGATAAGGACACACACTGAACACTGTTACAATATTGTAATCCTGGGAAGGAAGGCAAAAGTCATCACAGATCTAGTTGTCTGTCTGCTGGATTTGATCTTGTTGCTCCTTAAGAAAATGTAAATCATGTCATAAAGCTGAACCTGTGTGAATGAGACTTTATCTCATCCTAGAGTTTTATCATTCCCGTTCTGGAGGGACTCCTATCACAAAGAGTAGACCGCTTCTTCTTTGCAGGTTGGGTGCCATTACACAGCAGAGAAACAGACACCGTCTTCATCTTAGTGGCACCCATTCACCTTCGAGACAAAGCGAACAGTCAGGGCAGCTATCGTGAGAACACTCAGCCCCCAGAGGGCACCGTGAGATAGACAGTCGGACATGCCTTGTTTTGCTCATGATTTGAATGCAGTGTTTTTTTTGTGGAGACTAGCATTTTCTCTATTCAAGGTTGAGCTCTGAGTTCGACGACAATATCTTAAGAAAAAAAGGCCAAGAATCTAAATAATATGTTATTGAGACTTCACAAAAAAAAAAGAGCAGCACGGACTGCCAAACATCCAGAAATGTTTGTGGGATCATTCTGCTCCCTCTGTCCTATATGTGGCTTAAGAGGGAGGGGTTGCTTTCTCAGGACCTTTACCAGAGGGCTGGACTTTAGTGGGACAAGTGGGCCGGCTGCTCTTCCTACAGGATGAGAAGAAAGGAAAGAAATGGAAAACAGGGAGGGCAGAGTGGGGGTTTAGAAAGGCCTTTTCCAGCCCTTCTACTCTTTCAATTTATAGGTCTTCCACACACACACACACACACACACACACACACACACACACACACACACTCACACACAGAGCCCAGAAGGCAAAGTCAGGATGTGACATCATCCACAGGAAGAGAAGCCAAACAACTTTTTTCTCCCTTTACTGTGTTGTCTGTGCTGCTGAGTGAAGTTGGAGCCTCTCGGTCTGTTAGTGGCCGGCAGACAGGGAGTGGATCCAGAGGAGTTAGAGGGGGCAGAGCAGCTGGATCTGTCCTCCACGGGGCGATTAAAGCCAAGGGCTCCGGCGCCTGAATCCTCCCTGAACTTCTCACAACTTCCCACCACATTCCTCTGCGGTAGGATTTCAGCCAGGTAAAGTGCAGACAGCATTTTTTTCTCCCCCGATTCTGTAATCTCTTGTTTCTGATCTCCCTCTTCCTTTGTTTTCTGGTTACCGAGACTTGCAGTGCCTTCTTTTTTCTTTTCTTTTCTTTTCTTCTTTCTCATTTATGTGTTGGGTCTTGGAGGGGCTTTTGCTAGTCTGCAGTTGTCAGAGGCAAACTGCAGAAAAGCCATTAAAGTATGCCAACAGTGCGTGATCAGACATGCTTCATTCCGAGGCTGTTGAAGCACGCAGGGAGATGTAAAGTGATCAATACAAAAAGTCCCTCTGTCCCACATGCTGTCACTTTTTGTTGAAACCCTTCCTGGCTTCAGTACTAAGAGTGTCCAAGTTCAATATTTGGCTGAAACCGTGTCTCCCTATGGAGAAGTGAATGGCATGTTGTAACTGTGAGCCTTCCTCAGAAAGCCCTTTTGTTATGGACACATTAAGAGCTATCTCATGACCACGTATTCACGCTCCCCCAGTGGTGAGTTTTAAACTGAGATCAGGCAGACTGTGAAAGCTAGTGGAAAGAAAGAGTACCCTTCTCACATATCAAATGCTTTTTGCATTTCAAATCATCACTGTTCGCTCAAAAGGATAAGAGTGAACAGAACCCTATTTTTCTGAAATGAGGTACTAGGTCAACAGAAGTTCACAACAAACCGCCGTATCAGTGCTCAGCCTATAATGTGAGCACAGATGATAATGCGGGGACGAAAAAAACCCTTCTGCTTATTGGAGTCAGAGGGAAACAACCACAGGAAACGTTGAGACCGGCAGTTCAAAATGGGACACAAATGCGGATATAGTATCATGTTGCAACCACAGTCACTTGAATGTTACTGCAGTGTCAAATCGGTGGGAGCAACATATGCTGCAGTCTTCCACATTGCTGGATGGAAACACACAACTCAGTGGAGTGTAACACAATGAAATGTAACCCTTTCAACTATGTGACGTACCTAGATTGGATCTCTCACAAACTGCCCACCTCACTTTACTATAATAACCTACAGTATGTAGTTAATTTTCAAATGCGGGCATTATTGTTTTATTACCATAATAATGAAGGCTTTGGATCACATAACAGTTCAGCGAGGGCATGCTCCTGATCAGTGTGTAATATCTGCCAGGCGGTTATTAGCACTGTGATTGCACAGAAGTCTCACTGTAGTTATAGTCTGAGATCACAAGATATATCGTCTTGTTGTCTGCTCCAAGTGCACGGACCAAACTGGGAAAAAAAGACTTGAAACTGGAACTGGTTTCTCTGCCTAATCAAGCTCTTATAAGTGAAATAGTTATTGAATCGTTTGGTACCCGCCACTGTGCGTGTATACAGGTATTTTGATATTTTGACTCTTTAATATATTTATGCTTCGTTTTTCTCGCGGTCATTGTTGTTGTCTTTAACTCATTATGCTGCTTTCTTGGCCAGGTCGCCCTTGTAAAAAAAACGAGTTGATCTTACTGAGTCACGTGGTTAAAAATGGGTTTAATAAAAATACAAAAATAGCTATCATAAAAAGATAATCGTATGTCAATAATGTACTGTTTGTGTGTCATATCCAAAGCCTCATCTCCCAGAAATTTGTTTTTAAACCAAACTTAAAGTTTTGCCATCATAGCATCCAGTGTTCTGAGTGAGACGCAGCATGCCATTCATTTTCTCAATTATGCTTGACTGTACTGACCTGAACTTTGCCACAACCGACTAAAATTGTTGCTATTTTTATCAGCGTGTGCCACTGAAGATCTTGTGAAAAGGTCATCTCAGTCACACAAAGTTTAAAGCAGTGGATTGACAGGAAATGAATGAGCCTTTGACTTCTCTATTTCTTCTTCTTCTTCACAGAAACGTCCCGCGATCTGAAAACAAGAGCTCCCTCCAATCTTTACGCGACAGGCGCTGACCCCCATTTGACCTGATTTCCGAGCTGAAACGCGTCTGGTGCCATCGCTCAGGAAAGGTCACGCTTTATCAAACTCAAAACGAATTATTATTCTGGAGAGCTCACTCTCCCCTTATCACAGGGGAATCGGCTGAGTCAATGGCGCTGTGTCTCGGACAAGTCTTCAGCAAAGACAAAACATTCAGGCCGAGGAAGCGCTTCGAACCGGGCACCCAGCGCTTTGAACTCTACAAGAAGGCCCAGGCCTCGCTCAAGTCCGGCTTGGACCTGAGGAAAGTGGTTCAGCTGCCGGAGGGGGAGAACATCAACGACTGGATTGCCGTTCACGTGGTCGATTTTTTTAACAGGATCAACTTGATCTACGGCACGGTGAGCGAGTACTGCTCCGAGCGCACTTGTCCCATCATGTCTGGGGGGCTGAGGTACGAGTACAGGTGGCAGGACGGCGACGACTACAAGAAACCCACCAAGCTGCCCGCTCTCAAGTACATGAACCTGATGATGGACTGGATCGAGTCGCTCATCAATAATGAGGACATCTTCCCCACCAGAGTAGGTGTGTGAGGAGTCTTGCAAATGAAGGCGTCAGACTGTTATTGAGTGTGAAGCCTAATGCCTGATTGATTGCTGCACTGACGTTGTGCTGCATCAGTGCTGAAGTGTCTGCCTGGAGTGCAGTGTTGTTCTCCTTCATTAACATCTCAAATGGGATGATAAAGTTCAAGCAGGAGTTAATTACACAATGAGGTTGACATTTAGAGGAGACTGGACGAGTGATTGTGGTGATATTTTATCCCAGCAGCAGATTTGACAATCAACATTTGTTAGAGGAGAGAATCGGGGGCCTCTCTGTGTGTGATTTTCCTCTGGGAGCTCTGCTTCCCCCCTGCAGTCCATAGACATGCAGGTCAGGTGAAACTTACCTCTAGGTGTAAAAGGGTTTTGCCTACTTGTTAGACTGAAGATTGCCAGTTTTAACTGGGTGTTTTCCTATCTTTTTACCCAGTGTGTGCTCAATCTTCCATGGCCCTGAGCAGGAATAAGTAGAGACAGAAAATTAAAGGATAGTGTGAGCATCCATGTAAGACGTGGAACAATGTGCCTTAATACCGTAAGCTTTATTTGTCTGGCATACCCACAGAGCCTTTTCAGAAGGGCTCAAGTACATTTCATTAATGAGCCCCTTCCATAGATGGGATAACTTTAAGGAATTGTTTTAGTTGTTCACTGCTGAGAAAACACTGTGATGCCTGGTCTCTTTCTTTTATTAAGCTGATTTTTGCATTGTGTATTATTACCACTTCAGGCAGTAAAAGTTAGACTTTTCTGCCTCTTCTCATTACTTGTATTACTTACAGAATATTACATCAATTAAAAGATGGGATTCAATTATATAAAATGATTAACTTTATGTCTCAGATTTAATCAAACAAATTCGCAGGTGGAAGTCTACTATTGTCTGTAACACGTTTCTCCTTTCTACACACTAGGTGTACCTTTCCCCAAGAACTTCCAGCAGGTGTGCAAGAAGATCCTGAGCCGCCTCTTCAGGGTGTTTGTGCACGTTTACATCCATCACTTTGACAGCATCTGCAGCATGGGTGCAGAGGCCCACATCAATACCTGCTACAAGCACTACTACTACTTCATCTCGGAGTTCAACCTCATCGATCACTCGGAACTGGAGCCCCTGGTGAGACAATAGCAATGACCTCAGATGTGTGAGGGTGACGACAGGGAGCAGGAGAAAGAGGATCAAATGGATGTTTTGTGTTGGGAGGGGTTGTCAGTCTCACTCCCATAACTGTCAGTCTTGCAGAAAACATCAGCCATCCTGCCATCTATAACCTTGATGTGCAGCATGCTTGGTGAGGTTGAGTTTTGTCCTCATGCCAGTGTGTTTTCCCGGCTAATGCACAAAGAAAATAACGGCAATGTTTGTCTTCTGAAGTCTGACAGACTACATGTTCTCCCTACGATAACAATCATTTTCCATTTTACTCTAGGATTGGAACCAGTATTCACGTTTTCCCCCAATTCTCCATTATGAAATAAACTTGTAAACTGCTTCATGGTTTGGTTTGAAGCAACAACTCTCGTAAGAGGAGTTGCTGTCTTTGTGTAGTCATGTAGTGAGGCAGCGTTTGTGTAGCTGTAGACCTCCATCACAGATGAGCAGATGTAGAATGGTCCTCTGAGCGTCAATACAAAGCTTCAGTTATCATCATTATGAAGCCTGGGTCGTGTAATCCCCCCTCATAAAGCGAAACGGGGATGAGACATTTATGTCAACACTCCGCAGAAAGGATGAGTCTTGTAAACAGACCCTGTTTTGTTGTTCCACCTTTAGTACCCAAGGCAATTATTTTTGTTGTTTGTCTTATAGGGATTTTCTGTCTCACGATAAGAAATAATGTTCTTCATACAGAAAGTGTAGATAGCCCTTATTAACAATCATTCATCTCGTCGTACAATAAGATTTTGATGTGTTAAACGTGTCCTTTGTTTTCTTTTCCTACAGAAAGCGATGACAGAGAAGATATGCAATTAAACAAAACCACAAGGACAAAAGGAGTTTACATTTTGACGTTATCTGAGCCCCATGAGAAGTCATCGCCTTCAAAACACTCAAAACAAAGAACAATTTTACATCACGTTGTATGAGTGGTTTTCTAAGCATAACTGGGAAGGTCCACTAACTTACTACATTTCTGCAGATGGTGGCAGTGCCTTCAGGTTTTTACTTGAAGTTGTGCTTGGTGCCATCATTATAGGACTTTGTGTTGGATTATAATACATCCTCCTGTACTTGTGCGTATTCTTTCCTCCTGTGCATGTATGTTTGACCTTTTTATATACAGTGTTAAGTCGTTTTTTGTTCAATGTTTATATTGTTGTAAATGTGTGTATTTTTTTTGTACAGTTTGAACATAAAAATGCAGTCTAAAAATGCTTTTGAAAATGTGTACAATTCACAAGACAACAAGATGAGTATTAAAAATGCATCAGGCCTTTAGTTTCAGGCCAAAACCAACACAGATGAAGCTTTCACCAGATAAATAAAGACCCGATGAAGGATAAGGAGAAGTATTGTCAATGACATAACATTGTAGGTATGTGGCATGAGCCATACTTAATCTTATAAGTGATGCTGACCTGCCAAACCTGTGCTTCTGTAAATAAATCGCATCATCATGCACAAGAAAATCCCCACTATACGTGGTGCGGGGTGTGGCGGGGAGTCAAGCGAAGTGACGTAGGAGAGGTAGCCGTATTCCCGACCAATGGGAGAAGGTGGGTTTGCAAAAAGGGGCGGAGCAAACGTCTGTTTTTGTGTTTTCCCGCCCTGCGCGTCACTGACTGAAATTTCAGCTAGTGATGGGTGCTTACATCAGCTGTGAGAGGCTTTGACAGAGGGGACTTGGCTGGTTTGGACCATTTGGATCCAGAGTCCAGGTTAGACTGGTTTGTTGTATTTATTTTTTTCTGTTTAACGAAACTTTACTGGTATTTAAACACCAACTACCCCAAAACTAGCGAATGGACGAACATTTGGTAGGACAAGCTAGCTAAGGGTACTTGCTAGCTAACTAGCTAGCTGGGGTTAACGACAATAACATCCATGGTTGTACAGTCACCAGTGAACGCTAACTCTCAGCTTTCCACATGAGTGGTTCATCGTTTAGTCGTTGCTGCCTCTTGGTCGGAGTGCCTCGATTTGTGTAGAAACAGTGCGAATGTGAAGTAACAATGTAGCAAATGTTAGCTGCATAATGCTAAAGCTAACCTACCGTAGCAACAACCTTATTCTGTCACTCAATAACCAGAGCGAAAGAAAGTTTGACACAAGAGAGTGAAAGAAAGAGGAAACTGTTACTGCGAGGTGATAAATGGACTTTTTTGATGTTTCATTTATTCCCTTTGACCTAAATAGCTTGTCATCGTGTATATTTATGTATCTGCTGATGCAGTTTCTGCCAGACTAACTCTGTATTTGTTACTCTCAGTTGGCAGATATGGTGAGGCACAGCATGATGACAGAGGTGCAGACCTTCCAGCACTCCCTCCAGGTAAGATCTGTTCTCTCAATGCTGGCGATTTAAAACCCTTCAATTTTTTTAATGTAACGTGTTAGAAACGAACAAGCTGCCAGGACGGAGTTCACAGACTGTCAAGGCTATCAGAACAGAAATACAGAAGTTTCATCATTTTCCATGAGTCACGCACTATCAGCGTTTGTGTAAAGGCTTCTGGTAATAACCAGGGTGAGGTAAGGCCTGATATAGTATTTCCTGCATTCACATCAGGCTGTTTTGGCAGGTTGCCAAAGGGGAAGATGCGATGAGATGGGTTGTAATAGTAGTTATACATCATGCAAACGCAGACATTATGCAAAATAAGTTGTTATCATGTATAAGGGTAATAAGCCTGCTGTGTGGGACATTTTTAGTTTTTTTTTGTAATTTCACATTGAGAACAAAGTGAGAGTATTATGTATTCCCTCTCGTGCTTTCTCTACTGTACCACCACCTGATCTCACTCTGGATACTCTCGCCCCCCCCCCCCCCCCCCCATGCGGCCTTCTTCGCTCTGTTAGGGTAACTCCCTGGCTTTGGGCCAAGTGGGGCAGAACTGTGGGGGAACTCAGGAGAACGGGGTCGCTTCAGAGGAGAGACAGCACCTTTCCCAAGGCCCAGAAGGTACGACAGCTCTATGATTCACAACAGCTCTGGAGCTACTGAAACTTTCGGTGCACACAGTAACACTCTGGCAAACTCTGTACTGTTTTAATGAATTTGCTTGCAAATGGGTTCTTTTGTGTTGCCACAGAAATCGAGAAAAGCCAGCCAGTGAATATCCCAGATGCAGCTAAACGAAAAAAGAAGAAAAGAACCAGAGCGACCGACAGCTCCACGGGCACATTTGATGGTAATGAAGCTGATGTTATTGGCGAAACATCAAAAATGTAAAGATGACGCAAGCATGTACTGCAGTCCCATAATGATATTGTTTCTTCAGATCTCTACAAACTGATGGATGAGGTGCTCGGTCAAGGGGCGTATGCTAAAGTTCAAGGATGCATAAGTCTGCAGAACGGACAGGAGTATGCTGTGAAGGTGAGTACGGATCATTTTAGGTAACAAAGTTATTTGTTATTATGATTAAGGAAATGCATAGACAGCTTGTTGGACGCTGTTTCTCAGTTAATTACTTATTATGTTGTCATGCTGATGGACAACCTTGACACAGAAAGTTGTGGAAATAGTTTTGGATCAAATCTTTGGCAAGTGTTAAATGCTTTGACTTTTTATACGTTTCATGTATTTAATATGTTTTGTTTTACAAAGATCATAGAGAAGAGTGCAGGGCACAGCCGCAGCAGAGTCTTTCGAGAAGTGGAAACTCTCTACCAGTGTCAAGGAAACAAGTGAGTGTATTTTGTAAAAGACATTTTTTTTTTTTAACTAAATAAAACAAACAGGATGAAAGCGATTCTAATCGGTGTCCTGAACTATCTTTTGATCCAGCAACATTTTGGAATTGATCCAGTTCTTTGAAGACAGCTCCTGCTTTTATTTGGTATTTGAAAAGCTGCGTGGTGGTAAGTAATATAAATGAATATGTTAACATTTAAAACTGCTTACACGTAGCTTTTTTTTTTTTTTCTCTCTTGATAAACACGCAGATTGCTCAAACAATTGTCTTCTCTTCCTTCAGGCTCCATTCTCACACACATCCAGAACCGGAAGCACTTTGACGAGCTGGAGGCCAGTAAGGTGGTCAGGGACATTGCACAAGCTCTTGACTTCCTTCACACTAAAGGTAGGTCAACAACCACACGGCTGTTCCGTGAAAGTCCAAAGAGAATAGCTGTGGGTTATTTATTTATTTTGCATTTTTCGTCATGGTGACTGTGCTTTTTCTACAGGCATTGCACATAGAGACCTTAAGCTGGAAAACATCCTTTGTGAATACACTGATCGGGTAAGTGACTTTTTAAAGGACAGGAAGCTGAAGGACATTAGTGTTTCCTCGAGGTGTAGAGTGTACAAGTATAATGCTTTTCCTCCGTCTTTCTACGCAGGTGTCCCCAGTAAAGATCTGTGATTTTGACTTGGGAAGTGGAGTGAAGCTCAGCAGTGCCTGTACGCCCATAACGACTCCAGAGCTCACCACACCGGTAACGGTCTAGTTTTTAATTCATGACACACACTGAACCGAACTCATGGAAAACAAGTTGCGTGAGTCTCCCGTGTGATTTTTGTTTCTCTCAGTGTGGCTCAGCAGAGTACATGGCTCCAGAAGTAGTGGAGGTGTTCACGGATGAGGCCTCTTTCTACGACAAACGCTGTGACCTGTGGAGTCTCGGGGTCATCCTCTACATCCTGCTGAGCGGCAGCCCCCCCTTCACGGGCCACTGTGGCACCGACTGTGGATGGGACCGGGGAGAAACGTGCAGAACCTGCCAGGTACGAGCCTCTTAGTTTAGCCATATCTGATTTAAGTGAGGAAGTCTCTCTATAGCTTGATTTACGTGTGACTGCATCTGTACTTCTGGACATGAATTGTTTTTTGATTTCCTGAGTCAGGGGTTTAATCTTAAATCCTTCAGCAGCATTTAGTCTCCACCAGACTTTCATTCAGGCACCTCTGTGCTTCAGCTTGAAGCTTGATGTTGCCGTCCTGCTTCACTACAAATACGCAACAACAGTTTAACAGGATGTCGGGTCGTATTCTCTCCGCAGAGTCACCTGTTTGAGAGCATCCAGCAGGGCAAGTATGAATTTCCGGACAAGGACTGGGATCACATCACAGAGGGGGCCAAGGATCTCATCTCCAAGCTGTTGGTTCGGGATGCTACTCTGCGCCTCAGTGCTGCTCGGGTCCTCAAGCACCCTTGGGTGCAAGGGGTGGGTGCCATTAGATCTGTTGGTGCATCTCACATGCAAGGCCACTGTATCACTCAGCCAATGCTATTTTTTTGTTGTATTTAAAGCAATTATTAATTTAATTTTTTTTTACAGAACGCTCCAGAGAGAGGTCTTCCAACTCCTCATGTTCTACAGAGGTAAGGCAGCAAAGAAAGTCGCATCAGAGGCATTTATGAAGTTTATAAGGTGTTTAAAACTAAATTGTGTGAAAACTCTGTTGATGGTTTAGGTGAAAACATTCAACCATCTCATGAATCCTCTTCTGCCTCCTCTCTTCCTTCAGGAACAGCAGCACCAAAGACCTGAGCCAGTTTGCAGCAGAAGCCATCGCCTTTAACCGGCAGCTATCTCAGCACGACGAGCAGCAGGAGGACGTGGGAGCCATCGTTTGCTCCATGAGGCTTTCTCCTCCCTCCAACTCCAGACTGGCCCGCAGACGGGCGCAGACCAACGCCCTGCGCACCAGCGACTTTGCACCCGCGTCGGACGACCTCACGGCCTGAAGGACCAGTGAGGTCCTTGCGTGTGTTTTTATAATTTATTTTTTCACCAGGAGCCTTTTAGGATCAGCCACGCTGTAACTGTTCTTGGTGTTGAAGCTCTGTCCCATGGCCAGTAATCTTATCACCTGGACAGAGTTTGAGCACTGACGGTTAATCGTCGGCTACCACTTCCTTATTGATTTTAAATTTGACAACAGCTTTTGGGGTTTACTGTTACAATTAGTCTTAACAGAGATATTTATTTTCTATTCAATGATTCAGTTTAGCAGAAACCGCTCTTAATGCCTGTATGAGTACATATCACTAATAACACAGCATTACGTGGGTTCAGTACAGTTTTGCAGCTGTTACTGTTTTAATGTAATATTATCTAATATTGATGGATTTTATTTTTCTTGTTGTCCAACTGTGAATTAGTTAATATTTTATTTAAATGCTGCTTATTTTTTTTTCGGTCACTGGAGGAAAGGGATGAGTTCTCTTTTATGTTTTGCTTTTTGAAGCTTGTCAGTGTATTTGGTTTGATTGTGGTTAAATTGATAAACACTTAAAGGAGACTGTTCATCAGTGAAAATGGGCTTTTCTCCATGCTACACATCATTTTTAAAACTTATTTTTTTTTAAAGTCAGTCGAGGCTACTTGGACCTTACAGAACGTGCAGGAAGGTGAATGGATGTTGAAAGTTTGAGAAGACTCTTTGATCAAATAGTTTTTTTTATTTCTTATCGTTCTTTCACTTCAACACAAGCTACCTGTAGCACTGACGTACTTTAACATAAGTCACTGATTTCATTTATCTGAAAGGGAGAATATTGTATTCTATGTAAGTGAAGTCAACACCTGCAGTGATGTTTTAACAACCGTTTAATCCTCATTAGAGTCCAATGTTGCCTCTGGCTCTTTATGTTTTTTGCACCACATCTTCGCACGTTTTGTAACTAAACATCCCAAAAAGACTTAGTTTCTTATTAAGTTAATATCCGTGTGTGTTTTTACTCTGCTGAATTGAAATGTGAGAATTGTTTTTGTTTGTAGCTGAAGACTTGACGAGGTGACGAAATCCATTCGTCACCTCACTACACTTTGTAGTGAGGTGACGAATGGATTTAATTTTATATTTGTATATTATTTAGTTTTGGTTCTGTGACTCGCTCCGAGTGTGCCGATGGAAAATAATAATAATGGACTAACCAAAGTTTTGAGTCCATCAAGTTCCTTATTTTAATTTTAAAGAAATATTTTAACTTCTTTGTTTCACTCATTATGAAGCCCATCTTTGTTTGACCAGTGGACGGCAGTCTATCACCTTTTTATTTCCCTAATCACCCAATTAACTCTCTGTGTTGCGCCTGTTAAATGACACGTCCCCCTGATTTCACACTGTTGCCATGGACACCCCATCCCTATAGCAACACTGGGCCATCAGAGGCTGACGGGGATTTGCTCAGCGCAAAAAAAAAACCCACTTGGTATGTTGAAGCCCTCTCACTCCCATTATGAATCATAAATGGACTTCTAATGTAATATCATCAAATGAGATGCAGTTATGGGGTCCGATGCATAAAGCTCTGTGTGGAGCACATTTTCACTGCTGTGTTCTCAATAAAAAAAATATCCTCAAACATATTCGCCTGTCTAATCTGCGTTACATTCGTTTGTCAATTTATGCTTTCTTTCTTTAATGCAAGTTCTCGTTCAGGTGTGTTGAGTTGTTGGTGTTGGGAGTAAATGTGATTTAACGCTTCAGTCGAGTGAGCGTCCTTGGATGCTGAGAGGATGGTGAAGGGACAGGAAGCCGGTGCGGTTAACCCGCACAAACACTGATCAGATAGCAACGCTCAGACGGAAGCCGTGTCCTTGTTAAGACTTATTTTAAAGCAGAGGAGAAGCGTGTGTACCCAGATAAGCTGAATCATTTTAAGATCAACAGAATGTGGTTTCATCATAATTAAATAAATGGATTTAAAGCAACAAGTAGCAGTAGTAACATTCATCGCCACCCATTTGGTGTGTATTTGAGTTTCTACTGATTTCTCATAGATTCCTCAAACAATCAAATGTTAATGTATTCAATGCACACATGCAAACACTTTATTGCCCCCGATTTGATTGGAGGGTTTGTTTCAGATCCCTGTAGCGCCCCCGGTGGTCCTTGTTCATTATAACGTGGTGTGTGTGAGCAGCAGCAGCAGCTCACTCTGCTGTTCACCTGCAGGAGGGAGAGATCTCCAACTCTGCTACACCTGCATGTGATGGACGGACAGAAGATGGCACAACATCAATGAGGTTTATGGGTCTGATTGAAGGTAAGTGACACTGAGATTAGAAAGCTTTACAACAGTGTTGCTATGTTTTCAGGTTTTCTTCTTGGTGCACATTTTAAAGTGACCAGCAGTGAGGAAAATGTGGATTTAAAATGTATTCTTATTGGGAATAGCTGCACTTTTAATGGTATTGCTGCATGCATTACATGTCTTGAGTCATTTATTGGTGTTGAAAAACCTTTCTCGGCAGGCGTTTTATAATTTGCCACTTAGTCATTTATGGAGATTTTTTTTTTGCTGCATTGTAGGAATTACTTTTGAATGACATGTTTAAAAAATATCACAGAAACCTAAAGTGTAGCTTATAAAAGCTTCAGCCTCTTAAACATAGCTGCATTTTTAGCGGTATTGTCCCGGTGAGCTGCACATGTCGGCTCTTCAGTCTCTTCATCATCATCATCATCGTCGTCTCTCTGTGTTGAGTTCAAGTCAGTCATGTGATCTTCAGCTCCTCTGGGTTTTCACAGAGCTCTCCATGAGGCATGGTGCTACCTGAAAACTCTTCGGGACCATCTGCTCCCATGAAGGCCCCCAAGCAGCGCGGCCCGTGGCACCAGAGCCTGCCCTCCCCGGCCCTGTGCTGCGCCTGCGGCCTGTGCATCATGCTGGCCGGCATCAACATCACCCTGGTGGGAGCTTTCGCCTTCGGCACCTTCATCCCTACCGGCAACCCCCCGATCATCATCGGGCCTCTCCTCCTGTTGGTAGCCCTGGCCTTCTTCACAGCGTGCTGTGTGGTCAGCAGGAGGCCCCCGGCCCACGTGGCCCGCAGGCCCAACGGAGGCGAGAAGTGGGGGCTGATGCGGATGGGGACGGCGGTGTTCGAGATGGAGACGAGCGACCAGATGCTGCAGGACACTACGGCCGTTCAGCTCAGCCCCACCAACTCCCCCACCTCCTCTCATAAGTCCAGCTGCAGCCACGGGGGCGACACCCCTCCTCCGCCTGGCTGTCAGGATGGAGCCGGTGAGCTGCACATGTCAGAGGTGTCTGACGTGGGTGTCACTGGAGACAACACCACCTTGACCTCTGACAGCAAGGAGAGCACTCCCCCACAGATGCTGCCTGCTCAGAACACTTCCTCAACGTAGCATGGACTTGTTTGTTTCGTTGTTTACTGGATGAAAAATGTCTGGTGTGATTGACAAGACTGATTTAAAAAAAAAAAAAGGGAGACTACCACCCTCAGACTGTTGACTGAAATGTGCTGTGCTAAACCTCTCTGATTGTAGCTCATTCGGTGTGTTATGTTGTTGAATGTTTGTTGCTCAGTTCCAGGATGTACAACACTTTGCCACAGGAACAGGAGATGGTACTTTAATCCAAGTGCCTGTTTGTGTACTTCTTGTTGTATAAAGGCTGATAATCCTGCACTCACGTTGTGGTTGGCACTTGTCAACCTCCGTTTGGAAAGAAGATGTCCAGCCAAGCTTCTCTGAGTCATGAAAGCTGCTCCTGTGTAAGCCTGGTCAACCACAATTTCTTTTTTTCCCACACACTTTTTAAATCCTTGCATCAGCTGTAAAGAGTGAGCAAGCTGTGTCATGTCATGATGGATATTCAAGAACAAGTGAATGTGTATGCCAGGTTGTTACTGCAGATGTTCCATATATGTTTGTGGCACCTACACGTTTTATAAATAAAACAGAAAGGTTATTTAATTGTCAATTTTACGTTGCGTTTCTGTACAAAAACCTTGGTGAGGATTTTTAAAAGAACAATGTGTAAACAAGACACTGTGTAGCAGAAAGAAATCTCAGGCTACGTGAGAAAGGTGCACGGCTTGTGAAGATAATTCATTCGCTATCGGAGAAAAGCAAGCTGCGGCAGTACAAACACCTCCTTTCTGACATGTTGCCCATCACTTGGCATCTGACCCAACAGCTGCTGGCAAAGGCGAGAGATCCCTGTTTACTCATCATTATACAGCTGCTGTCCACAAACAGAGCAGGACACACAGTGTGATCCCTGCACACAACTCAACCACTGGAAAAGAAAACCGCCACAGCCTGCTGTTATTGCCTCATAAACGGCTACAGGGAGGCAGCGTGGGCGTCCTTAGTTATCCAGTGAATCAGAAATATGACCGGTAGCGTTTCTATATAGGGGATGACATGTCTGGGAAACCTGAACTCATTTCTAAACAATCAATGAGGTCATATTGCTCTGACGGATGGCACAGTGAAATTACTTTAGTGCAGATTTGCAGGTTCTTGTCACTGAGACTTTTTTTGCACAAAACATAATTTTCCTCAAGCATCCTCAGTTCTCCTTACGTTTTTGATTATTTACTCCTACTTTGATTTTGGATTTTACTCGGAGACATCCGTGAATGAGACAAGGTATTAAAACTGTGATTGTAATCTCCCATAACTGGTAACGCTTTTGGTTACATTCATGAAGAGAAACCATCCTGTCAATGAGGAATATCTTGACATTTTAACATTACATAAAATTGAGGAAGCAACAATGCTTAATATAAAACTTGAGTGTAATATTTCATAGTGTTCATTGTCAGACGGGAAATCCAGGTCCAGTAATAATGACACCATTCATTCAGTTAATTCAGGATTTCTCTTTAGATCTGTGTGCTGGACTTTACAGTCTGCATATCAGGACTGTATTTAAGCCCCAAATTAACACCATCCGCAGTGTATATCACACAGCAGGTGGCTTCCTGAGGCGGACTGGGTAATGAGCGAGGACCAGAGACCCTTATCAGGATCAACCTCAGACCACGGGGGTCACTGGGATCATGGCAGAGGAAGGATTTCCACAGAAAGTCTGCAGCACTGCTGGGGTACAGCCTCTGGGAGATGCAGGTTGAAACCTTGAGTGGCCCTCAGTTTGGCACCCAGGTAAAGAATTACAAGTGGCCTCTCAGAGAGAATCCTGGAATCATCCCTGTTTACTAACTACATAAAGCAGCTGCAAGGAGTTTAAAGTGTTTGTGAAACCCTCCTCCTCATATTGTCAGAGAATTTTCAGCAATTTTAGAGTATCACCCAAAATATACTTGCGCATCAAAACATTCATTCCCTGGAGGCGTATAGGTGGCTGCAATCCAGCTCTGTAGTAACTGACAATGATACAAGATCAACAAAGCTGCTTTTTCCTTCAGAAGGAAGCATTAGACCTTTTTTGCGTCCACATCCCAAACCCACTGATGGCAACAGTTTGCATGAGGTTGCACGAGGGTAGCGGATAGGAAGCCTGGATCACAGGAAACAAGACAACATTTAATTCAGGTAAAAGAATACTTAAGAGAAACTGAATTTACAAAGCTTGGCCTGGTTTGTAGCCACCACAGCAGCTGTGTGGTTGACAATCCCGGGTAGATTTACTGCAGGCTGATGAGAAGCAGGTGTGCGGACTGGGAGGGATGATTCTCTGATTGGAGACAGGTGTGTATGATGAGCAACGCTGGGAGCAAAAATGTGAATTAGTAAAAAATAAATATTAACAAAAAATACAAAAATATGACTATAGAGCAAAAACGTAAGATGTATCGGTTGCCTGTGCACATTTTTTTTTTGTACAAAAATATAAAATGTGTACAAATAAGCAAGCACAAGTGCTGTATGGTTTACCTCTGCATGAACAGAAAACAATTTTGACAATTACTTGAATATTCCTTTCGTGAAATATATGAGAAACTATAAAAGGGTTTTCCAGACAAAAAGAAAACGTCCTACGTACAATAGTAAAAAAGAAACTGTGAGAATTGACTTTGCTGGAAAGCAGAACAACTCATCGCCTACCAGACTGTTTATATGAATCCTTTCTCTCCTCTCACACCAACATAAACCCAGTCATACTGAGCATCACATCAGGGGGCTATCACAACATGTGGGTTATTTCACCATATGGCTCCAGATTAAGCATTGCAGTATGAACACCTACACACAGCAATGACAGTTATTCATTGAGTAACATGTATTGACAACCATTGGACCAAACAGTGAGAAAGTCACGTCGCTCTGAGCAATGGGAAAGCAAAAATAATTGTAATAAAAAATATAATTTGAATAAAAGTGTTGTGTGTTTTTCCTGTAAAGATACCACAGTCCCTTGTATCCATTTCACCACCATGGAGCTTCTCTCTCTGTTGTTCTTCATATTGATGATCACAGGAGTCTTCAAATATTACTATATAATTGACAAATGCATGAAATAACTGTAATTTGCGAGGCAATCTATATTTTTCTTCCACCCCACTCATTAAAGCAATGCTTTTGGGAATTTAATAGTGAGGCTAAAGGCTCATAATCACACAAGTGTCAGTGTGGGAGCTGAATGATTCACAAAGGGCCGCGGCTGAGTCTATTGCTTTTATGCAAATTGCCGCCATTAGAACGAGGAGCGTGTTCAGTGAGCGTACAATGAACTGCAATCAAATGCAAAAGCTCAATAAAACAGAATTCAGCTCCATTGACAGAGTTGAAGCTGCATCACAACTTATATCTCTACCTTGTGGAGAGAAGGCAGCAGGCCCTGTTAGTCGTCATGGAGTGCATGACTACTTCTTATGAATTAGTCAGATATCAGATGTTCATCCTGCAGCCAGCTGGTGCTTCAAAAATAATTTAGACAACAGGATGTCAGTAAAGAAATGTTACTTTAAGGCATCCTCTTGTTTCCTCTCATTTTCAGTCTGCATTCATTAGAAATCTTCGGATTCCGTTTATGTAGCATTATATTTCAATTCCTATTCCCAAATTGAATCAACAGGAGAACTGTTCCTGTATTTCATTGCCTCCAGTGTTGAGTTCTGCCACTAGGGGGCAGTGTCGTCCTTCACACAGCGTTTCCACGCCAGGTGGAGACGGTCCTTCTCATTTCGAGGTGAGAACATTTACTCGGTTTATTTTCGGTGTAGTCTTTGGTTTTGATGTTGATATTGAAAAATATATTTAATCAGAAATCCAGTTCAACGCTTACATTGCTCTTCAAAAAGCTTCGCATTTTGCTGTTAACACGAAGCCTTCCGTCTCATTTAGCGTTTATTAAGTACACCTGACGTTAGCTTTAACGAATGCGGTCCTACAATTCCTTCATGAGGGTCTTATTGCTCATATTTACTGAAAAAGTTCTGTGTTCTTTTCAGAGAGTTGTTAACTCAACTTTTGTCATTTCCCACGCTGCAGTTTGTGCTGCTGTTTGTTTTGTGTTGAGTCATAACTCACCGATAGAAACATGTTCAGTCTTTGCAGGGCTGCTTTATTAGGGTTAGGGACAGTTATTTGTACTTGTAAACTAGTAATTATCGTGTAGAATCCTTCATAGAACGTGCACATTTAAAGTCCCCCTCCTTTAAAAAAAAAAAATAAAAATGTTTGTTGTATTTCACGTTTGTTGAAAACAAAGTGTTTTTGTGCTCAATTGAAATGAGACTCTACCTGTGCGTTCCAATACCCATACTACCATACTATTTAGTATGCTTGATAATATTTTATAAGTCCCAATACATAGTGCGTCAAATGTATGCCAAAAAATACCACTATGTGCTGCTGCATGTGGTCGCATTTTGCATTATCCAAGCCAGCACGCTTTTCTGGCTATTCTGACCCACAATCCTTTGTGCAGCAGGTATTTTGAGCAAGAGAGTCAAAAGTTCAAGGTACCATATGATAAAGTAGAACGTCCTAATTGTATGCGTACTGCATGCAACAGTATGCATCTTCTGAGGGCAACTGCTGCATGTAGAAAAACTTAGTATGCAATTTGGATCGGGGTTCCGTTGACGTACAGCAGTTGCCCTCACAAAGCACATACGGTTGCATGCAGTACGCATTCAATTGGGACGTACCACTTCACCATAACATTACATTTTGAAATTTGACCATCTTGAGTATGTATCTGCTGTGCAGAGGATTGCGGGTCAGAACAGCGACGGATTTAATAGAATTACTAAGTGAATGTTTTTGTGGAAAAAACACTTCACACCCAAATTATTAGTAAAAGCAGTGAGTTTTTATGAGTCTCAAAGCATGTCTGGATCGAGTTTTAATGAGAATATTCCAATGAAAAATACATAAACGATGATAAGGAATTAAACACTCTTCCATATCTTTTGTGTCTATTTTTACTTTTTCACATCCAAAGTGTTTGGACCTTGAATGCACCACGGCCTCCAACCTCGCTTGTTCAAAGTGCCCGGCTGCACTGCACCGTCCTTGGTGGTGCCTCCTCCTGCCTGCAGCTCGCTGCGTTTCAGAGGGATGCAGTGATCCTCCTGCGGCCCTGAAACACAGTCGGTTCGTCTCTGAACCGCCGCCTGAAAAATACATTTCCCACAGGTAATACACTACATTACCAGATATTCAGAAGATAGAACAATAGCAAGGTTACAGTGTCTTTGCCCTCCTCTGTGAACATAATCATCGGCAGGTGAGTGACCCCGTTGTGTTTCATGCACGCTGAACTTCCTATACACAGGCCCGGCTCGTATACGGTTTGCCCCGGCGTCTTGTACAAGCCATTTGTCTTTCCGTCCCACCGCTGTTGTCGGGTGGAACAGGCGTTTAACATCCCGCCTCTT